TCCGTATAACGTCAATCATCTCCCAAATGCTAACAGAGAGTGACGCGGAATATCTGCTTAAAAGACCGATTACAATATATATGTGGGACGTGTTTAAATTTAAAATTTTTATGATGGATGGCATATCGCGACATTACATGCGGGTGGGAGTCGATGGTTTTTAAATAATAAAAGGATGATCCATACAAACCGGCTCTATTTGAATTTATTCATGACGTTCCTCTCCTATTCGAATAATGGAACTTGGATTGATCCCTTTGCTACACGTTATAATAATCTATTGTAGTATAACATACCCGGGTTCGTTCAGTAAGTTTGAACGGTGTAAATTTTTATTACCTTTTAAACAACAAATCTTCTGAAAAACGAAACGAAAAACAAATAGGACCTACGTTGTGGAAACTTACTCAATTTTACTTACTGGACATGCGCCCGACGCGACATAGCAAATATTTGGGAAATTTAAGGGAAGTTGTGATATGTAAAAGAAACGAAAAATTTGTGAAACGTCTATTTTATTATTAAAGTAAATCGTACCGTTCTCATCCTGGAACTAACGAGGGAAAAGAGCACGGCAGAGAAACCCTCGATCTAACATTCCTCAAAAATCGAAACATACTGTGTAATTTTATTAATAATTGTAAGTCATTTAGTCAATAATTCAAATGAATAAAGTTTAAATTAGGTACCATCCTTTGTCTTTGTGCTAAAATTTTAATTACACACACAACATTCAATCAACAATACCTATATTCAATGCTGAAGAGTTTTTGGTTAGTAAGCCAGTTTCCCAGCAGGTACTGAGGTCCCATACGGGAAGCTACTCAGCTATAGTTGTTTTTGAGCCAATATCTCTGGATTGATTATTTCAATTTGCTAGGATATTCTCTCGTCAGGGTAGGAAAATGTCAGTAAATTCAACAAGGCCCTAATGCACGCTCTAAATTCACAAAATCAAAATCTCAGCACAAAAAGACAGCACATAATTTCTTAGGATTTAATTTACTTTTGATCTGTGTTGTTTACAGCATGAAACGATTTTTGTTAAATACATGAACAATGCACATGTTATAAAAAATGTTATAAGCAAACAAAAAAACAAAAAAATGAAAAAAATTATACTTGCGTATAAATAATTCAACTCTCAAAAACAAAATAATAATTATTCCATTGACCTGTAATTGCTCCTTGATACACACACTAATAACAAATTGGATTGAACAATCTATTTAATGCAAAATAAAAATGAAAATTGAATAATGAATAATTACAGATATGCGACACGCGTTTAAGGGACCAGTCCAGCTCGTTCTGTAGTCTAGTTGCGTATTCTCTATCTCCCCTTCGTAGTACCGTTCCTTGTGGCTCGAACGCGGCGCATACAAGGTTGCAACATTTATTTTTATTCAGTAAACGTTTTTTTAAAAAAATTAGGATTTGAAGAAATAATATTTTAAATAGGTGGTTTTCCTCACTATTATTTGGAAAACTGCTGATTAGGAAAGACAAGCAATTAGTTTACTCAAAATAAACTTAGTTTATGTAGTCACAAAACCCAATCATTTATGTTCAAAACCAAGCAATCAATAAATCAAGAATCTTCAGACATCAAGACTCAAGTTTGAATAGAAACTGCCATTATAATTATACAAGTTTCAAATCAAATACCAATACCTATATGACATTATTTTGTTTGGAATATCTAAAAACATTGAATGGGTATTCGTCTTCCAAAACCAGACAATGCCTAGAGACTTGGTAGAAAATTGGATCATGTTAACTGTCCAAAAGACAGTTTAAAGGACCTCTATTTCAAACTAAAGAAGATTTGCTTAAAAGGAGATCTAAAAAAAAGTGGCTCGCCATCAGCCTCAATATTTCGTGAATTGAATTAACGAACCTCATTCAAATAAAGAATAACCATGAATGTAGGCTTAAATAAACTCGGAGTCGGACGACAGTGATGGACAAACTGAAATAACTGACATTGAAATAATATAAATGATGAACAATATGAAAGTATTTAATAATTTATGCAAGGATAAGTAGCACATAGTTCATTCATCATTGCTCAGATAGGTCTCTGAAGAGAATCTTCAGGTAAATCCACTAATGGAGCTTTTCTTTGACGGAAAATCATGTTTTAGTTGGAAAATTTTGAAGCATTTGAAACAGTTTTAACGATACAAGAATATATCTTACCATTAAATGGAAGTATCTATGTGGTTTTTGCAATAGTTCTGGTTAGTGTCCTCAAGCAGTTGAAAGGAGTTATAGAAAAATAAGGTAGAAGGGAAACAAATACGAGATGAAAGACAAGGAATAAACCAAGCATACGGAAATAGACGATTACCGACCAACTTCAGTGAACTTGAAATGTACATTGCTTTCGATGTAATCAGTGAAGATGGACGTTGGACCTACCAGAACAGTGGAAAGGATAAGAATTTATAGACAAAATCAAAACTTATTTGCCACAAATGAACCAACAATTAAGTTGAATGTAAAAATTCTACAGAAGATATAGGTACCAAAGAAGCCATCTAATCAGTGAGAAATTTTAATAAATTTTACCAATGCTGCCTAACTGTGGACTGGTTGGGTACTTTTCGTACTGAGGATCCCTTGGGCAGGTTCCATGTCTTGTTGACTGATGTCTTTGAACGTTCATTTCCGGTTGTGAGGATTAGAAACAGGAGGCGGAAACCATGGATTACTGGAGGAATTAGAAGGTCTGGCAGGAATCTTCGGGCTTTACATTATATACGTAAATATTTTATGGACTGTGGGTTTTTTGTGTCATATTTTAATAGATACCTATAGGTCACTTTATCGTAAAACATTGAAACTAGCCAAAACAACTTATTTTGAAAATCGCATAGTCAATTCTCAGAATGGGCAAAGAGAGAGTTGAAAAATTATTAATCAACTCAGGGGAAAGCATAGTAGGGTTGAGGCCCAGACTGACGTTACGCCTAATTAGTTGAATAAATTTTACTGCTCCATTGCTCGGAAGCTTGCAAGTAGTATTGTTCCTCATTGGATTTTCTACAAAGTGTTAGTGTTGTTCAGTCTTTTTTTCTTGCACCTACGGACTTGAGGGAAATTGAACAGACCTTTAAGGATATTAAGAGTATGAATGCAGCTGGATATGATGGTGTATCTCCATCAAACTCCTGCAGGGGTTGCCAAGGTCTGCGCTTGATGCTTTGGTTGATGCCAAAAACCATTTATTTTTTCTCGGGTTTTTTCCCAAGTTCATTGAAGGATGCGGTTGTAATACCAATTTATAAGGGTGGGCATACTACTGAGCCCTCCAGTTTCAGAGTCATCTCATTGTTACCCACAATTGGTAAGGCTATTGAAAGGCTAGTTAAAAACAGAATTGTGGCTTTCCTGTATAAGAATAAACTGTTGAGTTTGGCTCAGTTTGGGTTTCAGAGTGGTATGGGCACTGGTGATGCAGTTTTTGCATTTCTTCCAGCTTAACGAGAGAGAGGCGGCTGCGGCAGTGTTTTGTGACCTATCAAAAGCCTTTGACTGTGTGGATCATGGAATACTGTTGCAGAAGCTTGTCGGTACGGTTTCAGAGGTACTTCGTTGAATTGGTTTAGGTCTTATCTGTCGGGCAGGAACCAGCATGTTAGGCTACATGGTGCGAAGTCGGACAAGTGCGGTATAGAAGCAGGAGTGCCTCAGGGTTCGGTATTGGGACCCATTTTATTTCTGATTCATATCAATGATATGACCTCCCTTAACATCAGAGGTAAATTTACAATGATACCACAATGTGGCATAGCAAGAGTTCTGAGGAATTGGCCAAAGTGGTGGCAGATGATATCAATAGGGTGAAGGACTGGTGTGATGCAAACCGCCTCACGTTCAATATTTCGAAAACTAATATTTTAAACTTTAATTGTCATATAGGTGATATACACCTCGGCAGTAGCCTAATCTCTAACAACTTGAATGCCAAGTTTTTGGGTATAAATATAGATAATATGTTGTCTTTCAGGAACCACATAATGAACTTGTGTAACAAATTGGCCTCGGGGTGCTATGCGGTAAGGGTGGTATCAAGGGAACTAAATTTAAGTATGACAAAATCGGTTTACTCCGCACTTTTTGAGTCCCATTTGAGATATGGAATCTGCTTCTGGGGTAATTCGAACCATTTCCTGATAAATTCTGTTTTTGTTCTGCAGAAAAGGGCTGTCAGGTATGTGCGGGGTTGGGGCTAGGGAATCTTGTAAACCCTTGTTTATTCAAAATAACATTCTGACCCTGACAGGTATATTTATTTTGGAGACTGTCTGTTTAATGTTTAAGAAGTTTGAAGGAGAGACGAGTGCGTCTCATTATATGATACGCGTCAAATAGGCACTATACCTTTACCTACACCTCATACTGCACCTGTGAGGAATTCTTTGTTTTACACTGGTAAAAAAATATATAACCATTTGCCTATTAGCATAAGATCCCTAGAATCCCTAAAAAGATTTAAATTGGCTGTAAAGGAGCTATTATTAAAGAAAGCCTACTATAGTGTGGCAGAATGTTTTGAGCACCAATTTTAGACCGTTTACTGGTTTACTTATTTTGTATTTTAATATTGTTTTTGTCTGTGTTTATTTTTGAATTGTGATACATTTTTCGTCTTATATTTTATTCATTGTTCTCGTCATTTTATTACATGATTTTTTATGGTTGTACATGTGTAAGTAGTTAACTTGTCTGTACTGTACTTCTTATGTTGTTTATTTCAATGTTTTGTTCAATTTAAAAAAATTTTAAAATCATGTATTTACTTTTTTGCTAGTTTTAGGTTGGTAATGAGATTGATTTTTTTCTTATATCAATAAAGCTATTTTGATTGATTGATTGATTTAAGTTTTTTCATGTTTCAGCACATAGTGCCTTCTTAAGAGGGAAATCAATCTCTCCTAAGACTACTAAGATAGTAGTTTGTTCTGTAGTTGATTTTTTGTAAATTATCTAAGAGTAATTCAGTATCGTACGCTGCAGAAACATGGAGCCTTAATGAGGGTACCATGAAATGTCTAAGGATTGCCCAAAGGAAAATGGAGAGAAAAATGCTAGGAATTCGACTACAAGACCGAAAGAATATATTGGATAAGGCAAAAGACAAAAGTTATAGACTACTGAGAACAAATGATAATAGATGGACCAGAAAGACAACTGAGTGGAGGCTTAGAACAACTAAAAAGAACCTAGGACGGCCAAGAACGAGGTGGAAAGATAGCATCCAGAGACTGGCGGGTACCCAATGGATTATCAACAAAAGCGAATGGAGACGAATTGGAGAAGCTTGTCCAGAGATGGACCGAAAGAAGCTGAAGATGATGATGATGAATTCAGTATCGGAATTAAATTGTATTAAGAGACGTTTCTTGCAGCAAAGATTTGATTCTTTTTCAAATTTAATTTTATGCCTAAATTTGCCTATAGGACTTCAACTTTCTCGAAGTAGTGGCTTAAATTTATTATGTCTGATATTATGTTTTTCAAGAAATACTGAGCGAGGGTTAGATCACCAGGTTGTGAGGTCACAAATGTAGACATTCGAAGGTTATTTAATATACATTCATGTGGAAAACTATTTAAAAACTTATACAATAGCAAACTAATATTTAACAAGTACTCTTTGCCATTGTCTCATATCCGTTTTTGAAATTTCAATACTTTTTCAGCATATTCAATTATATACATATCTCACAGTTTCCATAAGATTCCTTTTGTGCAAAACCTCTTAGAACCATTCTTATCATTTATTTGTTCTTTGAATGATTGGTTATTGATGTACCTTGATATATTTCAGTATTTTTAGGTGGCTCAGTCCCTATCCAAGTTTCATTCGTTTCAATCAAATCAGTTTCCATGGAAATTGATTTTGTCCATAAATTCTTGCTTCGAGTATGTACATTTCAAATTCACTGCAGTTGGTCGGTAATCGTCTATTTCCGTATTCTTTGTTTATTCCTTGTTTTTCATCTTGTATTCATTTCCCTTCTACCTTATTCTTTTATAACCTCTTTCAACTCCTTGAGGACACTATAACCAGAACTATTGCAAAAACCACATAAATACTTTTAGAGGATACCGAGGCAACTGTTATTCATGACAGTTTGATCGGAATACTGAGTTTTTCGTTCAGTGGATCCCAGTATTTGGAATATATTCTTGTATAGTTGAAACTGTTTGAAATGCTTGGCGAGCGACAAATAAACTATATCCTGCTCTTTTAAATCTACCCCTGTATAGTACAGTCATACAAGGATTCATCTACTGAAAAAATCCGAGTGAGCCTAAATTTTGTCTACACCTTTATTTTACCTCAATAATTAATGTATTAAAGGCCGATACTTTTGCTTTCGATTAACGAATTTGATACGTCGTCAAAGTTTTGCATGGGCCAAGGTCTATAAGTATGATATGATTAGAGCACATTCAAAGCCCTGATTATTTTTAACGACTGTCAAATAAGAGCAAAAGTACCGGCACTGAAAGTCCCCACCGATATCTTGTTTGCGTTGCAAGACATTCAAGGTCAAATATCACAGAAATGAGTTTTTCTTAAATATTTTGCTTTCGGTATGTCCTACGACGATTTTGGCTAAAAATATTAGGAAATTCTCTTCAAAAAAAGTATTCACATATTTGACGTCATACCAACCGTTTCCACCTGATACGCCAGAAAAACAGAGGGTAGCACCCGTTTCCACACCACCCCAGAGGTGAGATGCAAGGCGCGTTTTTTTTACATTGTATTTTTATTATAGGCCTAATCCATGATCTTTCTTGTTGTGACATTTAGATGTAGAATGTGCGATCTTCATTCTCGTAATCTGTCCCCTCTTCCACGACGTACAAATGTTACATTAAACACAGCATCGGCCCATAATGTATTTGATGTTAACATTTGTACCGTTCAGTTCTGGCTCCGAAACACCGCGCCCCGTACCGAAAAGAGTTGGGTAGTGGGTAGACTGATCAGGACAAGTCTCGGCTGTACAGACAAGTCCAGCAGGATAACCGTATTCCTTATGTCCTGGTTGAACGTACGGACATAGATCAGTTATACTTTCTACCCTGCTGAGACACGCGATTCTGAATTTGTCGCTAGAAGCTTTCGGGGACTGGTGCTGAACCTAGGGCTTATTTCTTCGATATTTGTTTTATTCCTTTATCTGCGCATTGGTCCTTGGTTTTTCTTTCTCCACTGTAACAAGCAACCTGGTGCTAGTGGGCCCTCAACCACTATAATCTTGAGGATGGCACCCGAGATTACCGCTGGATTAACCAAAAGATAGATACCGACTGTTAAGCTGCCACAGCTCAAGGCAAAACCTAGGAAAACCCGTTACAAATTTGGCGCCCGAGCAGGGACCATTTTGCGCATCAGCAACTGACCGTAAAGATTACGTCATCATCCGTCCCCCGTTTCACCGAGAGGCCGTTTATTTTGGTATCGACCGATGGGTTGACCGTTACATCGTGGTATATTTCTTCATGGTTTCTTCAGAAGCAACGGCGCTGCTTGGTGTTACTATTTTAATAAGCCCCATAATGTGAAGCGTGTTGTGGCCATCTATTGTGTAGACATTGATATCTGCATTGTCTGCTGGATACTAAATAAGAGCACCAGTTTTAAATGATAGAATATCTGGTTGTGAATGGTAGACAGTAGCAACTTCATACATTAATGTTTCTCTATACAAGGCGCTGAATCCAAGAGTTGACAAAATATCTAGAAAAGGTTAGATGTGAAGGATCATGCACGTATCGAAGCCATAATAGCATGACAAATAGCGGTACACTTACACTTAAGATGGTCAGATTTGCCTTTTTTGTTTTTCAGAATTAATTCTTCAATAAAGTATGAAAGGCTCTGTGGGATGTTTTCGCTAGGATTATGAAACATTCTACTGGGAGGAGGACAAGATTGACAATAAACAGTCATGAAACGAATGTCTTCTCTAATAATTTTGGTTTGTAAAATTCGATGGCGTTTCTTTTACCGGTTGAGATTTCTTATTTTTATACCAAGCTTTACTTAAAATATCACTTTGAGTATCGCGGAAACAAGTCATGGTCGAAAAGGAATGAAGTTTTGGCGGTTAGAACAACCGAAAAGCGTGGAAATTGAAAATGAAAAGAAAGCTAAGGAAAATTGGATGATTGAAAATTTTGGTCCTGGGCGAGATTTGAACCCACGTCCTAAGCATTGCCGGTGCTACGCTCTAACCAACTAAGCCACCAGGACCCTACAGATCTTTTTGATTTTTTGATTGGTGTTGTAAGAGGAAGTTGCGTGGTTCTCCGCTCATTGCCAAACTTCTAATTATATATTGATATTTCTTAGTTTTTTTTTGTCTGTTGCCTCGTTGGCTTCTTCACCGCAAAAAAAACACAAAGTTTTTAAATCAAAAGATCCCAAGTTAGAGCGTGTTTTGCGAAGAAAATACTGAGATGTACCGGCAGCATCGTCATCTCGTCGTCTTTTAGATGACACTATGCTACCCCCCTAAGACACCAACCTCCAATTCGAGGATTGATGCGGGTTTCCCTTACGACGAACTGGGTTTTCCGAAAACCTTATTTCGCGCCCGAAGGATTTAATCGTTGGCTCTCTTTTTTCCTTCTTCGTGTTTGTAAGCAGCTCGCACCAACAATACTAGGAGGGCTCGTTTACTGACCGCCTAAAGCGATTTGGTCATTAAGAATCCCACACTGGATGACACAAATGAAAGTAGTCGATAGTAAATCACTCTTTGAAACACTTTTGACATAGATTATGGAAAAAAGCGCAATCGACCTGTAATTCCAAGGATCATGTACATCACTCCTCTAATTGACAGGTACAACCCGAGCAATTTTAAGTTGTTCCGGAAAAACTCCCAATGCCAAACAGGTATTATTATTATGTATTAATGGTGAGCAGACCGAATGAGCAATGTGTCTTAAGAGAAAAATTGAAATTCTATCAACACCTGCAGCAGACTATTTGTACGGCAGGGCCATGATGATTTTGAGAATTTCATCCTAGTCGGTCGATTCTCAGATATATACCTGACTTTTCTCATAAGAATTGTTGTTGTAGACTACTCCATGTAAAAGCTGAATTCATACATCCATTAACTTAACCTTGAAACTAAAATTTTTTCACAGACATCGTGACATTTCCACTCGCAACATCCAATTTCACATTCTGGGCCCATGACCTGATGGCTAAGGTTTGTTTGGATGACCATAAGGCTGCTGCACTTCTTGTTCCTCCAATATTTATAATATTCCATTCATTATAATAAGAGACGTGCATTTTCTGGAATTTGCCCAGAAGAGGAAGACCTGGAAACAACTTGAGGAGGCTAGCACCGGATCCAGAAAACGATGTAATGCTGATGATGATTCTTTTTTCAGCAACTATCGTAGTTTTTCCTAGATATTTGCTCAGAAGCTTAGTGTTCAATTTTATTTATTTCATAGCTTCTGCCAAAATATTCTAACGTTATTTTTAGCTGCATATTATTGCGCTAGCGCAATTCCACAGCACTCTAATTCGTTTGTACATCTACTACCACTCTCTTGAATGAATCTCACTTCATCATGAATAGGTAGTTATCAGCTGACAAGCACCGGGCCCCTCTAGAATGATCCCAAAAAGTTAATCAAATCCACGCAGCGCGTAACAGAGTTTATAATTGATCCGTCCACAACGTCCCTCCAGCTATCCAGCCAGCAATTCCCCCGTAGCAGCCGTTTTATTCCCGCTGGTATCCTGCTAAGCAACAAGTAGATGGGAAACGACAAACTTGCGTACGCGCCGCCACTGTTTCAATAGCCGCACGTTAAAACTTTCATTCGTTCACTACGCTCAGTCTGTGCTCTACGGTAACGACGGATTCGGCTGCTGACTCCTGCTGCACGTATTTTACGTTTCCAGTAATCAGCGACGTCGTGTCTACAGGACGTGTCGGTTAATTTTTTTTTTCTTGGGTCCGGGTGGATTTTGTTTACTCCAGCACATGGCATTAGTAAAGGGGCTTATCAAAATTAAGGTAAGATTTCGTAAAGTAGGTAGGTACAGTCCAATGCCAATGCCAAGGTTATTACGCGGACAATGTTTTGTCTGCGCTTATAGTTTGTGGTTGAAATCGAGAATTTTTTCGATACTTCCACGAAGGATGACTAATTTAATAATGTTTGTATGCACAATGAGATTTAGCTTCAGTTTCCAATAAATAATTTACAGTAACTAAATTGGAACAATGTCAATTTTCCCAATTAAAATTCGGTTTATTACGTCGTCATCAAAAAGTTCAGCGACTCTTTGCATGTTCCCTACGATGCTTTGTTGCACGGGTGCACCATAAAAATATCAATTACAAGAGATCAAAAAAAGTCGGCAACGATAGCAGGTATATTGTTATTGTTCTTGCCAGAAGTTCATTGTTTACCACGTCGCGCGCCATTATCATTGTCTTGGCAAATTTTTATTAAAAGCAAATCGGGCGTCGTTTTGAATATTGATTAGGTATCAAGTATGATGTCCCAGCAAATAATTTGGATATTGGTTCTTTTCGTATGTCTGATAATAATGTTGATTTATCAGTTTTTCAATTGCCGATCTCTATTGGAGAAATGGCTGACACAGGACAACCCATCAAACATCTTCATATCTTACTTTGCTGTTGCTCCTAATTCTGCTATGTAATGTTTTTTCGTGAATGCTTTTCATTTCAGTTGTGTGTGCTATATGATGGGTCCAATTGCTGTTCTTTCTTTGTTTATAAAATCGATGTCTCGTAAAACAACTCGAGATTCGAAATGTTTTCTGACTTTTTTCTGTAGATCTCCGCAGAGCTTGTTATTTCAGCTTCTGATTTATATGCTCGACAATCCTCTAATCAATCTCTAATTTGCATCTTGTCGGGTCTTAAGATGTTATTAGACATTCGGTTTTGTCTACGTTAATGATCTCTATCTATCTATCCTCATTCTTCCATGTTTCTCTATTATTGATGATCTGCATCTATCTTGGTCTAGCATTTTTTTTTAAAGTAGTCTTTCTCTTTCCCGGGGTCTTCAATGCATAGGTATCCGTCTATCGTCATTCTGTCTTCAAGTATGTCCGGGATTTAGATTCCAGCATTGAAGACATTAATTTGTCTTATTACGGATTCATTTATTTCTCTTCCAGTTTGCTAGTTAGTGTAGCTATTCATTTTCCGATGGTTGATGCCTATAACTTTTGTATGTGAAGACAGCAGGGAGTATACACTGATCAAATACTTTTGTTCCCAGATATCGGGAGTATATTTTTTATTTGGAGGAGAATGAGAAATGCTGCCCATGTATATTCTCACCTTCTCTTTACTTCTTCTGTCTGATTTTCTCTTATTTGGTTTTATTATTTGTCCTAGCTAGGTATAGATATTCCAATTGTTTCATACGCTTGTGTTCCAAGAGAATTCAATATTTTATTTCTATATGTAAGTATATGGATTCTGGCTTAGATTTTTTATGTATAAACTAGATAATATCTAGTTTAGAAGATATTATGTTCAATCTTATACTCTGCCAGAGTAGATTATGATCACTAACCACATTGTACATTAATTGTTCCCACATCTTTGAAGTGATTAGTTTATTATTGATGAAATTAACACAGTCAAATTTATATAGGTACCTAAAGGCACCAGTGAAGATGGAATCCTGGTTAACCTTATCAAAAATGTTGGATTCAAACTGATAGTAAGATATTTGCTAAGAATGGTAAAATCTAACAAAAGTATAAAGTATTGTCAAATATTGATGAGAATCCCGCTCTGGATTATCTCGAATAATTTTGGAATAACCTACTGAATTTTATGAGTTTCTAGTATAAACGATAAGATATTAATCAGTTGAAGCTCAGGTACTTATGTAATGTATGAAAGGAAGTTATAATAATTGGAGAGATTTGATAATAAACAATCAAACAATGAAATTCACTGTCATTAAACTGGATTATTGGAAATTAAAATCGAAAAGAGTTGAAAAAGTTTGAAAATATAATAAGACTAGTTACCAAATACTGAAGAGCATTAAGAAGCGGAAGTTTTTAAATATCAAGAGATTTTACAAGATTTGGTACAAATTAAAGACTTATTTATCGAAAATAGTTTATGACAAACAGCAGTTTCCTATGTCATTCGAATAATAAAGATAGTTTATGAAAACAGAGTAAAGAGAGTAAGAAAAGTAAAGGTTTTGACAACCTAGTAGGCAGAGTTTGAGGCAAAACCTACTCAAAAGTCAAATCAATAAGGCTTCAAAGTAGTGAGGAAAGTTTGTCCAATTTGTGTGCACAATTTTTCTTCTGGAATAGATACTAGGTATACTAGAGGAGGTGGGACCAACCCTTACCATTCCAAATGGAACAGGGGGTCTAGTGATACCTGTTCTAAAAGTGCGTTCAATTTTCTTTCAAATGACATCAAAAGGAAGAGCATTGAACGCTCTTTTAAAAGAGGTATCACTCGACACCTTGTTTCATTTGAAATAGTAAGGGTTGATCCCATCCCGACTAGAGGGTTGAAGTTAAAGTGCTAAAAATGGTTGCAGAAAACTTTCCCCTTTGAAAATCAAATTACGTGCACAAGCGATTTTTTTTAAAAAAAAACGTGACATGCATGTTTCGTTTTAAATGGTACACCCTGTATTCTATATCATGATATATACCGCAATATTTATTTTAAAAATATCAAGATATTTATCCCTACAAAAGTGTTTAAGGTAGGTAGGTACAATACTGCAGTTAGACTTACAGTTTGGGTTAGTTATGGGAGAATTGAGATTGAGCGAGATTCAGCATTAACCTATTTACGAAAAGTAGTTATAAAGCGGTAACGAAATGGTTGGAAGGTTAGGATATGGGGATATGGTCAGCGATATTAAACACTAACCAGTAAGTAACCAGACTACAAAAGGCTTTTCGTAACCAGAAGTTTAATAATATCGCAGATGTTTCCTATTTGAGGACCGGTTTATCAATGGACGGTTATCTAGTTTAACTGTCGGTTAACCAATGATAATTATAAGTTAACCAACAACTAAACTGAATAACCGGTCGCTTAGAAACCGAATGTCCTGATATTTTTGCACCCTGACTATACAGGGTGTTCGGCACATGAGTAGACATACGTAAATCTGAAATAAGTGGGGCCGTCTGCTATGCGGTCCACCCAGATTTTTTGACCTGGGCCCTAGGATTTTTTTTTTAGAATTTTTTCAATTTTTTTTCCAAAATTTTCAATTCGCAGATTTTAAACTGAAATAACTTTTTGGAAAACTATGAAACTGACAACATTTTTATTTTATTTTCATCTAGACTAATTCTAGAAGCATACAAATTTAATAATTGGGGCCCATGACAGCTACAAAGAAAAATACGTGCCCTCAAACCGCAAAAACAGGTAAAAAATAATTATAAGAGCCAACTTTGCATTGCATTTGAAAAAAAAAACAAGAAATGATCGAGTATTTCTAATTAGTCAAAAACATCTTCAGTTCATCCCCTTTCGAATGATATGCAATAACCACAATTTGTCTAAAAACGACAAGAGTTATTTATCAACTTTATCAATGGTGGGCATTTTTTACGAAATTCTACTTTTGAGGTAAGTGCATTTTTTGCGTTTAAAACTTACAGGAGCTACTTAATAAAACAGTATGATATTGATTCCATAATGTATTCATAAAAATTATTCGAATTGCCGCCCTCCATTATTTATTGAAAATTTTGAAGAAAAAAAATTAAAAATCCAAAAACAAAATTCTTAGGACCAAAAAATCTGGGTGGAACGTATAGCAGACGGCCCCACCTATTTCATATTTAAGTGTCTACTCATGTGCCGAACACCCTGTATATGAGGAAAAATTTCAAATTTGGAAGAGCCATTATGAAGGGCTTAATAGGAAATCTAACGAAAAATCTAATTATTTGACTTCTTTTCGAGAAGTCAACATGGAATGAGTCTGTGATTGGCTCGATTGATTTCCTTTACCATTAGGCACACTGTGCATAAAATTCAATTTACTCAGATGATCGTAATTTTGACTAATTGCAGTATCTAATAATCGCAGGTAAAATTGTTCAAAATTTTCTGTCATAATTATATCTCACAAATCCGCCACTGTTTTTTTCTCGAACCGCATGATTATACCAATTAGGTTACATAATTTTTCCGGTGCACCAATTATCCGCATCATCATCAGGGCCGCGCCTCTAAACACCTATTTATCGGAATTTTACGAATATTTGTGCGATGGGCTAAGCCCGGGGGCTTCTCCCACGTTTAAAATTGCCCATTTTATATGCAAAACCTTTTTCGGTGGTAGCATCACGAGAAAAAAATTCCCATACACACGACAGACGGTGACTCATCGACTATACTTTTCCCGAATATGCGAGAAGCAATTTTGGAGTTTAGGGTTAAGGTATTCGAAATTTGCATGCACGGGATTGAATTTTTGTTGTTAGCATAAAACAATAAACAATTCTAGAGCTCAATTATCTTTGCTTAATCCTTCGTCTAATATAGAGTCATCTCTGCCTACTCTCAAACTGGAACTTATAGGATACCTTCCACTGTCATTTTTATCATTTGTAGCTATAGTCAGTTCAGCTATACGGTCAGCTGAGTAAGCCTGACTATATTTATCACCCAAACTAAGTTCCTCATTGTCTTTGTACCATTTTAAGGTCGGTGCTGAATAACGTCTTTGATTCTCTACTCCAAAATATAGCTTTTTCGCTGGAAGCCTTGTAGCTTTCCCTAATGGTTCGAGTTCGAGGGAAAGTGGGTGTTACTGGCAAAACTTCAAAGCTGTCAGCACAGAACTGTAACTGTCAGATGATTTGATGCATGCTCGTTCCTTACTACGCATCTATAACTTCCAGCATCTTTGCTTGAACAGAATTAGTTGGAGTTGAATAGTTTTGCTTTCATAAATGACCAATAGCTAAGAGACTTCGAAAATTATTTTAACCTGATGAAAGAAACTAGCACTTATGAAACAAGCCTAAAGATCCGGCTCTGCCTATCAGAAGTATTAAAAATAAAATTTAATGTATACCACATACATAGAAGAACTAGAACAAGCATTATAACAATCAAAAACAGTTATTAGTAAAAACAACCACCCTAAGGTTATATACCTATATTATTGACAGGTGACACAGGGGCTGGCAAAACTTCAAAGCTGTCAGCACAGAACTGTCAGTGACAGTCAGCTGATTTGATGCATGTTCGTTCCTTACTACGCATCTATAATTTCCAGCATCTTTGCTTGAACAGAAGCTAAGAGATTTCGAAAATTATTATAATCTGATGAAAGAAACTAGCACTTATGGACAAGCCTAGAGATCATCTGCCTGTCAGAAGTATTAAAAATGAAATTTAATGTATACCACATACACAGAAGAACTAGAACAAGCATTATAACAATCAAAAACAGTTATTAGTAAAAACAACCACCCTAAGGTTATATACCTATATTATTGACAGGTGACACAGGGGCCGGACACTTGAAGCTACTCACACCCAACACCCAAAATAGATGTGAACATCTGCAGGAACGCAACGATACTGCGGAATCGGGAACCCTTCCACACCTGCTTCCCCGACTGTCGGGGAAGCACGTGTGAAAGGGTGTCGGGTCCCGACACAACCGGTAACCACGAAGCTAGGGAAAAAAAGACAGATGATATGAACTAAGCCGATGAATTCCACCGTCATGCAATGTTAATAAAAAGTCACAAAACTGGGAACGATATCTACAGGATATAGGCATGACCTACATGAACAATTCCTAAAAGTATACCCAGAATTAAGAGAAAGAGTCACAGAACAACGACTCATCGATCAAAAACGAATAATAATGAAAAACAAACGGTTCACTCAGTTAGAACTAGAACAAATAAAAAAACAAGTTGCTGAAGAAATATCTGCCATGGAGACAATACCAGCATCAGAAATAGAAGATCCCGAACTAGAAACGAGCCTGAAAAGTGAAACAACTACAACCAATCCTATCACGAAACAACCAAGCTAAAAAGAATAATGGATATCTATGAAATCCATCCAACAATCCAAAACTGCCTCTCTGCAGCAATGTCCAACTGGAGAAAAAAAATCAATTTGAAAACTGCAAATAAATATATCGAAACCGAATACATAAAGATTCAACGAGGAATATTTCAGGGTGATGCCCTCATCCAGTGTTGTCAAAGAGCAAAAATTTTCTGTACCTAAATTAAAGAAAAATTGTACCAGAGCGGGTTATCCGGCCACTCGGCTGGTGAGGACACGCTGATTCCTTCAGTGTAGCGGCCCAGAACATCTAAGGGCATCACAGACCTGTCATATTCATAATAGGTATTCAAATCAGTTGAAAATGAACGGACTCATATAACTCCGGCCCTTGGGGCTTTTATAACCTCGGCCCTTCGGACTCGTAACGTAATTAAAACAACACCGGCCATTCAGGCTGGAGATTTGAAAAAAAACATATGGCAATACTGCTTATGATACAACAAACGTTAAAAAATTGACATTTCAAAGTAGGCCTTGTTTTCTTCAAAACTCGATACAAAATGGCGTTTCTTTGTTGCCCTGTGGGCTCAAAAAAAAAACGCCATTTCAATCCTCTAGCGTTACAGTGTTGCCAAAAGTTAAAAATTTCATCAGCCTACAACATCATAACAATCGTTTCTTGATGTCAGTTGCCACTTGTCAACGTTTTACATTTACAATTACAAATGCTCCAAAATTACCGTTAAAATATGGCAACGTTGCTGTTGTAGGCCTCAATCTGAATCACAAGGCTGGCAATTGACAAAAAGAAGTCATAACAATCGTAGGTGGTCCTGAAAATTAACTCGCCAATTGTCAAAAGTCATAATATTGTATGTAGGTTTGCCAGTTGTCAAAAAAAAATGAGTAATTATTCCAAGTGTTTGAACCGGGAACAATCGAAAATTTACTCTGATGATAGTCTGGCTCGACCAACTGATCATTTGAATTGTTTCCTTCTTTATCTCGCTCTTTATCTTACTCATTCATAATCGCTTTTGGTTTTTTACTAATGTATCCTACGGCTTATCTTCTTCTTTGTTTTACTCACTAAAATCTGGAAAAACATTATGTTTGAGATTGTAATTATGGCAACGTCGCTTTTGATCAACTAGGTCTTGTAATGTAATGTCATTTGGCATTTTAGACAGTCGGCCATTTTCGAGTATTTTTATCCAGTTTCTCTTCGAAATTTCCACTTTTCCAGGCCGGTTTCGATCGGGAAAACTGTTATTTATATGCGAGCCCGAAGGGCCGGAGTTACGCGAGCCCAAAAAGCTGGAGTTATACGCGAGCCCGAAGGGCCGGAGTTATACGAGAGCCCGAAGAGCCGGAGTTATTTTAATCACGGGGCCCAGTTTATAATTCTATTGGTCAGCGGATAATATGGAGCCAATCAAAAACCGGGAATATTCAAAATCCTAATTTTAGCGCCCAAGCAAAGAGCCGGGAATATTCTAAAACTTTAGTTTCATCAAGTTGACTTTGGAATGTTAGTTTCCTATTGGGTTTTCTTAAGATTTTTACTTTTTGCAGAAAACGGTGGTTTTTGCAAACATATACTACTTTATCGTTGTCTTTGTCTTACTCACTATAATCAACAAGTAAACCTTGTAATGTCATTTTTATTGAAATTAAACTAAAAACAAGTTTCCGATGCTTTATCTAGGGAATTTCAATTATTATTTTATTATAATCATTATTTATTAATTATTCAACAATTTTTAATTGAATTTTAAACAAAAAACTCATTTAAAATGTTATTTTTGTTTTCCGAGATGTAATATGGCAATGTTGCTTTTAGTCGGCCATTTTGAAGTGACGTCTTGTGATTTTTTGCCAGTTTTTTCTCGAATTTTCGACTTTTCTGGAAATTTTTAATGGAAAAAAGCGATTTAACATACGAGGTTTTGAGTTTTCTTCATTTTCTAGCAAAAATTTCCACTTTTGAATGCCATGATTAGCAAAATCCCATTTAAAATGCTTTCGATGTGGCAACACCGCTTGTCGCTAACTTCAATCAAGGAGGCCTTGTAATAAATATCATTTGTCATTTTTGACAGTCGGCCATTTTCATTTGACGTGTTTACATTTTTATCCAGTTTTTTTTCGAATTTTCCACTTTTCCGGGCTGTTTTTGATCGGGAACATTTCATTTTGTATTAAAAATTTGGAGTTTTTCAACGGGGTAAGTAACAAAAACTTAAGTTTCATCAAGTAGGCTTTGGAATGTAATTTTTCAATGGTTTTTCTTCGGATTTTCCGCATTTCCGATCAGGAAAACCGATTTAAAGTACGAGGCTTTGAGTTTTCTTTATTTTCTGCCGAAAACCTTAACTAAACACAAATTACGTCAACCAAAAACCACGAAACGAGTGTTACATTGGTGACGCCATCTATTTACGAATCAAAAATTATTGTTATATCGAATTTGGATTGGATACAGTAAAATACAAGTTAATTAGAACATCGACATTAGACTAAGTAGGCAGTAGGCAAACAATTGACTCTGAAAATTTGGAAAAAATAAAAAAATTGAAAATTATACCAAATATGCCAACGTCGTACCAGCGTACTTTTTCAAAACGAAAGGTATCAAACCTGGTACAATTGTACCACCTCTGGCAACACTGCCCACATCAGTGCATTGTGGTTCTGCATGTGCCTTAACCCTCTATCACACGCACTGAATGACACCAAAATATGGATATAAACTCAAACAAGGAAACATTACTGTGTGTAGGTACATAAAATAAACCACCTCCTATATACATGGATGACATAAAAATTTATGCTCCAACACCTACAGACATGCAAGGACTACTGAAAACAACCGAAATAATATCCAAGGATATCAACATGGAGTTCGGGATGAACAAATACAAAGTTCTACACAGAACGAGATTCACAAACTGCATGCTAAGCAGAATGACACACTGAGAACATAATTCCTCAGTAGAGAACACCCATTACACAAAGCTATAGTAAAAATCGATAAAAACTATACACCCCTTAACTTAGCAGCGGAAGTACAAAATATAAAACACCATACTACACAAGAAAAGTTACAAAAATGGTCAAGTAAGCCGTTTCACGGCAGATATTATAACAATGTAGATCAGGAGCACATTGATAAAGACTCAACATATGTGTTCCTAAAAAAGGGCCAGCTCTACCCTGAGACAGAAGGATTTGTCCTGGCAATACAGGATCAAGTGATAGCCACCTAAAACTCGGTCTCTAAATTAGGATCATGAATAGGTGAAATTGGTCGAGTAGACAGTACTTATTTGAGATGGCGCACATCGCAGAGAATCTTCTTAATCTTTATTCCAACAAAATGTTTCGGTCTTTTCAGTAAGTGTGGTTAATGGTCTTGCGATATGAACGAAATTCTTAACGAATCTCCGAACATAACTGGCAAGTCCTAAAAACTGCCTCATCTTATGGACATTTTTAGGAACTGGAAACTTTTCTACTGCAGCTATTTCCGATTTCCCTCTGCACGATATCTCCAATCAATGGTTTGTCGAAAAAAATAACATTTAGTCATGTGTAGGGTAAGTCCAGCGTTATTAAATACTTGCAAGATTTCTGATAAAGCTCTGTATCCGTCGTCAAAGTCAACTGCCGGAATAAAGATGTCATCCATGTAAATCACTGCTGTATCGAATCTTGATGATCCAAGAACTAGGTTAATACTTCGCTGAAATACAGCTGGAGCATTTGCTAATCCAAATGGCATTCGTCTATACTCATAATATAGAAAATATATATCAGGATGACTCTGTGAAAAACGACAAATGTAGAAAATTTCAACTACTTCCCGAAACAATAGAACACATATCAATATCTCGGTGTAAAGTATTAGCAGGTATTGAGTACACCAATAGACATAACACAGTCGCAAAAATAATTCATCAAGGAATTACACTGAAATATAAACTTTATGATGAAAATCAACCTTACTATATCTATAACCCCGCGTCAATGAAAGAATATGGAAAGAGCAAGAAGTTCAAATTATTCCTTTTATCATCTCAGCAACGGGTATCACGCCAGACACATTTATTAAACACCTTGATCCTTGATGATCAACTGGGTCTCAATGAAAACATACACTCCCAAGATCAAAAAGCCACTATACTGCAAACTTGTAATATCACAAGATCCTTTCTCAACCGCCCGTCGATTGAAGATATACCAGTGTAAAAATCTATGAAGCAGAAAGAAATGATAATAATAAAATAATTTTCCAGAATGTATATCGGTGAAGTTGAGAAAAGTCATAGAGTTTACATTATTTCTCATAAGGCTTTCACAAAAGCGCTTCATCTGAATTGGACAGCCAGTCCAACTAGAAACATATTTGTTAGAAAAAGAGGTTCAATCTGGTTTGACATTTTCCAAATCAACACACTAACTTCTAAAATGCTTCATTGTTGAGATACAGGGCTACTGGTTTAACTAAATTAAGTCATCAATAGATAATAGATTGATCCAATTCCAATAAAAACGTTTCCAAAAGTTATCGAAAAAATTTGATAAAAATCTAGCAGTGTGGATACGGTCGAAAGGCTTTCCAGAAAAACTGAGATGCTGGCAAGGAGAAAACTTAGTTTTATTTAGAACTTTCGATAAGAAGTTTACCAGCTCCAGATTGATTTTCAATGTTGTTCTTTAACCAATTCCATATCAGAACAGAGTTTGCACACAAAAAATATATCGCCCAACTTTTATTCTAAAACAACAGCCAAATTCAAATATGTATTGATAATAATAAGGAATATGACCTATCGATCCTTGACAGACCATTTCTGAACGTCAATTGGGTTTTACCTTTTAATGAAAGACACATTTAAATAGCTCAATTATAATTTTATTTCACTAACACAAGTAATAATTATCTGCAAACATGGGTGCGTCGACTAAAAACCACATTAATTTAACTACCCAATTTTCGACCAAATCAGTACATCC